ATGTCCACATTACTGAAGAAAGTGAGTTCCAACAGCAGAGTTTGCTGTAGGAAATAGTCTTGCATGGAAATATCTTGTAGGAAATATTTTGTGCATGCAAGCCTGCGTCTGAGCCGTCACAGCGCCGAAGCCAGCCCAGATTCCAGACCTGTACTGGAGATAAACAGATGAATAAAACTTGAACCTTGTCTCTAGGTCTTTAAATAAAAATTAGAATAATAACTGCTCGTACTTACTTCCCAGTTTCTAAAGCACTTGCCTGTCTATGTCTTTTGTTTGTTAACAACTCTGTATGACAGTTACGACTGTCATTAATTTCCCATCTTGAGATGGGAGGCCACTCAAACTTGGCCCTCTTGAATTTATAGTCCACCTCATTTAGGTGGCTTCCAATACAATATAAAGTATAAATAAAAAATAAAGCATGTGCAGGAAAAAGAAGAGTCTGGGTCAAGAAATGAATCTGAAATGGAAAAGTGTTACAGCTATTTTAGATAAGCCTCCAGGACATCAATGTGAAAAAGGATTGGTGGCTATTAATTTTAGAAGAAAAATTAAAACTTCCAGTTTTTAGGGGAAGTTGAATCTTTCCTAGAAGTAAATTTCAAAGTGGTCGCTCCATGGAACCTCATACAGGAGCACTGAATGCTGACAAGAATGGTATTTTCAGCAACACTCTCACAGCAGAAGGTAATGGGTCACATAAGGTCAATCTTGTCACATCCTTACCACTTGACTGCGATCGGACTGAATTACAATGGACCGGTTTTGACCATACGTGAGTTTTCAATCAACACCTTTGGGCACTGTGGCTGGTAGGCTGGTAGGTGACGCACTAAGAATCCTCACCTGTTGGTATTCATGCCCTTATTTATTCCTTCCCCTTAAGCATGGACAGGGCCTGTGACTTCTTTCTAACCAATAGAATACATAAGAAATGATGGGTTGTTAATCCGATGATAATTTTACATAAAATTGTACCTTCTGTCTTGCTAGCAGACTCTAGGCGCTCTACATTGTGGCTCTAATGGTGTAAGCCTCCCTAAGGAGAGGCCCACGTGGGGAGGAACTGCAGGTGCCTCCAGCCAGCAGCCCTCAGCAAGGAAGTGAGTCCTGCCCCCGGCCCCCTGATCTCAGAGGTGGATCCTTTCACTGCTTTGTCTCTACAGTCACCCCAGCCCTGGCCAACGCCTTTACTGTAGCACCATGAGACCCAGAGACAGAGGGCCTAGCTAATTCCTGCTCAGATTCCTACCCCTACAGACACTGTGAGATCTTGGCTATATATTTTCTTAAGCCTCTAAGTCTTTGGAAATTTGTTATGAATCAATAGATAAAGAATACAAACACATTTTAAAGAAAATGTAGAGCAGAGCATGTGCTTCTGCTAGGCTGAATGGGCCACTCGGACCAGGACTTGGAAATATTGGGTAGTGGTGTGTTTTAGATTTTGGTCACTTTTCAAGCTTTTGATTATGATCTCTCGCTCCCTCATGCGTATTGACGTCAAATCTCAAGCAGAAAAACTCACAGTTAATATGTGAGTAACTGTGTCATGGTGTCAGTTATAAATAGAGACATGATATGCATGCTGAGATAATTAGAAAGTCATGAAAACATAAACAAAAAGAAGAACACGAGCATGGTTGGGCTTATAACAGGTGGCACTAAATAACTCATCTTGGTCCTTCAAGGCTCTCCAAACACATTGTCATACACAGAAAGGCCAATCTGCTTAAAATATATATACATACACATTTACAACCTAACAGGGACTTTAGGTGAACATGTTCAGTACAAACAATGATCTAATTTTTGGACTAACAGATCTAGTGGTTGGGACATTGATAAAATAAATTCTTTATTCAGTCATTCATTTAACAAGTAACTTTTGATTTTCTTCCATGAGCCAGGTTCTTCCTAAATATAGGATATAAATGAGGAAAGACACTCAGTCTTGCTCTCAAACTCACAGCATAGCAGATATAAGAGTTGTGACTATGTACTGAAGACATGCTGGGTACCAGGATGTGCCATAAACTTTGTACACATTGGCTTATTTGATTCAGAAAACAGAAATTTGGTTATTATCCCATTTTAACAGAGCAGCAAACTGAGGTTTACAAGTCATACAGCAGCAAGTAAGTAGCAAAGCCGAAATTTGATCCTGAGTCTTTGGACTCTAGAAATTGCTTTTGACCTTCTGACTGTCTTTTTTAATGAGAATTTCTCACATTACCAAAGCAATATATGTTTATTATAAAACATTAAGAAAATATGAGCAAATAAATGGAGGAAAAAATTCACTTGATTTCACCATCGTTTTTATAGCTATCATTCTAGAAAGTTATGGATGTTTCAGTGGAGAGATGGATGGATAATTATCTATATGGCCATAGTTTATTAAGCAATTTGTGTTTGATCTCCCAGGACCTTTGAGGTTTCTTCTACAGATAGTTTTGCAGGGAGCTACTTAAAAATCAGCAGCTCTTCTGACTTTTGTAAAAGCTTAAACTCCTAGAAAAGATGATGCTTCCTTGTTCCAAAGACGGAAAGGGAAGGATTAGCTTAATGGATCAAAAGGAGAAAGAAGCTCTGCCTATGCAATTAAGAGATAAATGTCAATGGATCCTATGTTTAGGGTGGAGTAGGCTCCCTGGAGGTGGAGGCACAGAGACCTCCAAGAAGGACAGCTGTGTGGCTCACCAGAGGCTCCAGACCCCAGGCACAAGGACAGCCCAAGCATGGAACAAAATCAGCAACACCCCTGCCAAGGCATGATGGGACCATGTGTTCAGATATGGACATTGGAGAAACAACGTCAGTCTCCTGAGGTATATGACCTGAGGGGTTCCCCCAACACTTTGTGGTTCCTTGAGATGCAGGGATCCTTGCACAATTCTGAGATGGGGTGAACTCCAGTTGTGACAGATGAAACGTCCTGCCATTCTAGCAGCAGGGATGCTCACAGGAAGGCTGAAAGAAAATAATGGGACACTGCTGATGCTCCTGACTTTGTGGACTAAGATCCACAAAATCCATACTCGTTTTGCTGTCTACACAAGTACTGACGCAGAGAGTACGACAGAGCCGATGCTCTGATAGACTTCAGGGATGCTGACACAAATGAGGCACAATCTCTCCACTTATAGTCTATTGACAAAAATAATAAATAAGTCAGTTAAGAATTATAAATATCAAGTGCTTGATGAATCCAGATGATGCCTTTCTTAATTTTGCAATTGACAGTATATATCAGTTAGCGTTTTCCAGGAAAACAAACAAACAAAACAAAACAGAACCAGTAAGATAGATACATGATAGATAGACACACAGACAGAAGGGGATGTAGGAGGAGATTTACTTTAAGGAATTGGTTTACACAATTGTGGAGTCAGACTGGGAAATCCTGAATTTGTAGGGCAGGCCAGTAGACCGGCTGGAAATTCTCAGGCAGGGACTGATGCTGCAGAACTGAGGCAAAGTTTCTTCTTCTTCCAGAAAACCTAATTTTTGCTCTTAAGGCCTTCAACTGACTGGTGGTGAGGACCTTCCAGATTATCAAAGATAATCTCCTTAACCTAAATCCAACTTACCGTAGATGTTAAACACATCTACGAAATACCCTCTCAGCAACATCTAGAGTAGTGTTCAGTTGAATTACTGGACACTATGGCCCAAGCAAGATGACACATAAAGGTCACCATCCCTATAGGATAGGGGAGATTGAACTGGACCTTGAAGGATGGTTAGGCATCCACCAGGTGGGGAAGAAAGGCCATGATGTACACGAGGCGGGCGTTGGGGAATGCTGAGCAGTCCTGCGTGGCTGGGACAGGGGAGGAGGGATGGAGAGATGGGCTAAGACAAAACAGGGACTGGAACTCCAGTGAGCCAGGGAGGTGGACAGTGACATGTGGCTCTCAACTTGTGAATAACTTGATCGTGTGCAGTTTCTGAAAAGACCAGTCTCGGGATCGTGTGGGGAATGGTGGGGAAGTAGGTTTAGAAGGTTTAGGGAAGAGCAAATGGTCCAAATCCATACACTGACAGTGAGGATAGGGGAGAGGGACACCACAGGGAAGATATAGAAGGGGCAGACTCCACAGGCCTCAGGGAACTCTATGTCAGTCACCACTCAGTCTCTGAGCGCAGTCTCTATGCTCTCTTCCTCTCTGCTTAGACTTGGTGTTAACATCCTCATCAACACCATTCTCTCTACAGTCACTACCAACACGGGGAACAAACTGGGCAATCTCTAGCAGGGGAGGCAAGAGAGGTAATAGCATTATGGCTATAGTTGTGTAGAAAGCATTGAATCCAACACACTGGCACCTCCCAGCTCAAATCATACACGTGTGTGCATGCACACTCAGGAGCCCTCACACATGCCATCATTGGCTGCAGAAGCTAATTCACTCACATTTTGATCCCACTTGGAAACTTATGCAGTTGGAGACCCAGAAACAACTTTTAAGATTCTAGCTTTTGAATCCATAACGAGAAACCTAGCCCAGACATCGCTCTGCACAAAATGGAAGTGGAATAGTGTAGCATAAAGTTGCATAGAGACAGCAGGTTGATAAATATTTTAAATCCCAGTTCCATTTCCACAACAATTCCTAGAGCCTTACCTAGACAGAGAATGAAATTCCTCTTTGATCAGAATCTGAGGAGATTTGTCTTTTTCCAGTATTTTAGCAACCACTACCACGCATGATAGGTTGCTTCAAGATCTATGGGGTCCCCGAATCTGAAATTCATGAAGCACCCTCAGGATCAGCCTTGTGTGTGCTGAGTCTCAACAACTCTGCCCCAGCAGGCACACTTGGTTTTTAAATTCCCACCTGCACGCATGCATGCCTGTCTCACGGTCTGCATCCCACTGTTCCCACCCCCCTCATTTTTCTCCCTGAGCGAACCAGGATTCCCCACAGGCTTGCTTCCAGTTGTTTTTTTTGTTTTTTTTTTAATTTTAGAAAATAAACTCAATATTTGTATATGCCATTTTGAAATTATTTTATTAAGAAAAGTTCATGCTGGGCATGCATGCTAAGCTCTGGGCTAAACATCAGGGACCCAGAAATGTATGAGAAACATAGTGTCTTACCCTCCAAGAGCTCAAGTGAAAGAGATAAGGAGACAATGAAGAGAGTGTTGTCTTAGCCCAGGATTGAGGAACAAGTAAATTTGGGGGTTTGACTATGAGTAGATGCCATGAAGATAGCATTCCAGGACTAGTGGTACATGCCAAAAGGCTGGTGAGGAGGGGTCTCTCTTGGGAGTAGTGCAGAGGTGGGGGAGGGGACTCTGACATGGGTAGGACTGAAACCTGAAGGACCAGGGGGGGTCCTCTGAGCCATTTCTTTACTTTCCTATTGAGGGCCAGGCAATAAGGGAAAAAGGATATGAGGCTAGTGCCCTAGGCTCTTAGCCCCCATCATGATGGCTAGTGGAAGAGATTTGGGGTGAGGGCACTATTGGGACCAAGATTCCTGAAAGTCAGGGACAGCAGTCTGGGTGAAGCCAAGTACTTCTCCTCTTTGTCTTCTGAGCTGCTGGGCTGTGCACCCATGCCGAGGCAGATGGTGTCCTCATCCTTTAACTCCTCTGGCTCCTTCCTTGACTTGGGGGATCCCATCTTCTCTGTAAACAAAAAAAAAGAGGATGATAAGAGGATGGCACCCACAGAAAGACATCCAGATGTTGGAGGGGAAAGAAAAGAGAGAATGAATGAGAAAGAGAGCAGTGCTTCCTAAACTTTGTCCCGTCGTGGTGCACATAGAAAAGATTATTTGCAGAACAAATTTGAGTACATGAAAGATTGGCCAAAGCCATCCAGCCACTCTGGGGACAGTATGCACCATCATCATCACACACCTGTAACACCTACTGATTGGGAAGCTGTGGAAAGATGGTTTCCAACAAAAGAGACAACAGAAGGAGAGAAGCTGTGATCAGAGGCAGAAATGGAAACAAAAGACAGGACACTATCTAGGATAAAGAAGGGCAGAGTGAGCTTCCGGGGGTGCAGAGCCTGGAGGGAGGAAGTAGGCTCGGCTGCGAGCAGCTGATTATGCTGTGGGGTCTCACCCAAAGAGGCCCCTCTGATTTACAGTTCCTAAAAGGACAATACAAGTCATCTGAGGAAAAGGTAGAAATAAGGAAGGATGCAGGACCTGGATCTGGTAATGAAAAAAATGGGAAACTGAGGCACTGGAGAGGCTGCACATTGGACTTGAGTGGGGTCAAGTCCAATGAGTGGGGTCCTCCATCCCATCCCTCCCACCACCCCAGGCAGCATCCAGATTCAGGAAATAGAGAGGGGAGGAAGTGAAGAAACTGGAATGTTGGCTTTGAGGAGACTAACTTTAGCCCTGGCACCTACCTTCCTTCCTCCCCAGGCCACACTGGGAACAGGATGCCCCCTGGGTCACCCCTGGAAAGCCTCCAGCTGCAGGGACATGTCATGGCTTCTGGGAACTGTTGCTGGGAGGGTCTACAGGGGAGAACACAGGGGCATCACGATGTCACCTCTGTACTAGGAGCCCACCTGGAGTAAGAGCCCTGTGGCCCAGCCTCACGGACCTGGATTTGGGGAAAAGCTCATCTGGGAAGGTAAGATGGTGCTTCAGACGGATCCCAGCCCATCTGATAAATCTGGGGTGTTTTCAGATCCTTTCTCCACCCCTGCCAGCCTCTCAAGTGCACAGGGCATGCTCCTCTGTCCTCATCACCTCCCCCTTCCCTGGGCCCCAGGCACTGGTCTGAAGCGCCCCTGACAACTCACATTAAGGGACACAGCTTCACACGTGTCTTCCCCACAAAGAAATGGGAGCTTAACAGGAGCCAGACTTTCGTCCTGGGAAGGAATCTTTATGGCTGGGACATCATATCTCTGAGAGGGCAGCATCTGGAAGGAGCGAGCGATTTCTAGGCAAAGGCAGGCGCTTTCCCGGCACCTACAACCCCAGCCCAGGCCTGGGTCGCCGCCGCAAGGAGCCGGAATCCCAGCAACTGCGGCATAGAAGTGGCTCCCTGGGCTCAGTGTGGGGAGAGCAGCCTGGTCTGAACAAGAAGCCTGGGCTGGGCCATTTAGAAGCCCCTTCTTCTGGAGAGTTCTGCACCCAGGAACTACATGGGAGAAGTGGATGTTCTGCAGGCCAACGGCCAGAGCACGGTCGGAGCCCTGCCCGGCTGCCCGGGAAACCCCGGAGCAACTGCCGCCCGGCGGGGTGGGGGAGGGGCGCGGGCTGGGCCCCCATCGGTCCCCACCTTCTCACCCACTCGCTGTCCTGCGCTCCTGGGCGACGCAGCTGCTCCGGACACGGACGGAGGCGCCTGTGTCTCCCGCTGGCCTAGAAGGGAACAAGGGCTCCCAGAGCCCACTGAATAACTCGGGCGCGTGCGCACACGTTTCCGGGATCAGGAGGCTCTTACAAAGAAGTTGTAGACGTATTAAATATATAATATACAAATAGGTACGATCGTACGCAAACCGTAGACAAGGTGACTGCTGGAGGAGCCGAAGGGAGGAGGGGCGGCGTGGCCCCCCGGGCAGCAAAGGTGTCAGGCTTCCTCTGTCAAGTCCTGCGCTGCCACCGACGCCACCGCCCCGCACCTGGCCGAGCCCCAGTGTCTGTGAAAGAAAAGTGAGCCGCTGAGAGACGGACACGCAGGAGGACGGGGCGCGAGCGCCCGGGTGGGTGGACGGGGTGGAGAAAGCTACAGGGAGAAAGGAGAACAACAGAGGGGAGGGAATCTTTGGCGGGACAGGGGCAGTGAGGCTAAAAGGAAGGGGACGTGATGGGAGGCCGAGGACAGGGGCAGGAAGGGCAGGGCGGTTGGGGACCTGGGGGAGGTGGGACGGGGAGGAGTGGCCAGGGCTGAAATGCAGAAGTGGTGGCCTGCATGGGCCAGGGCTGGCAGGGTGGCGCAAGTCAAGCTTTTGTCCCAGGTCATAGGTGAGAGGGAGACCAAGCAGGGCCAGGGAGCAAAGGGGGCTGACCAGGCGGAGGAGGACAGGAAGTCCAAAGCGTCCTTCCCTCTTTTGTCCCCTTAACCCCTACTGCCAACTTCCCCAGCCCTGATAACAAGAAAACGCGGAAAGGTGCAGTTGGGAGGATGGGGACGAGGCGTCCTTTTCAGAGAGAAATGGTAACTGAACAGGGATCCGGCGCCCTAATGGTGGAGAGTCAGGCATCCAGTACGGAGCCCAGGGGGAGGGGGCGGGCTTGGGGCCTTCCCCGCCCCTTCAAACTCCGGCCTAGGCCACTCCTCCAGGGGAAACCAGGGTGCGAGGGAGGCTCAGAAACGGCTCACAGGAGGAGGAGATGGGGCTGCCTCCTCTGGGAAGGCTGCCTGCAGCATGGTAGTCCCAGGCAGGTCAGAGATTCGGCAGCAGAGAGGGTGCCAGGGCGAGACCCCCTCCCCCGAGAACCCCTGCAAGGCTGCTGGAGAAACTGGCAGAACCAACTGCCACTTTTCCTCCCCCTGACCACAGGGGGCTGGGGGAACTACTCTTGGACCCAGAGAACCCCTCAAGTGGCGCTCGCAGCAGCCAGCACCTTGGGCGAAAGCCCGGCCGCGATCAGGAATGGAAACTAGAATCAGAGCGTTGCTCAACGGTCACCAACCAACCGAGCAGGAGAGGTTGGATTTGGGATTTCTCTTCAGGCAGGGGCTCTGAGCAGCTAACTGTGGTATTGCTCTTGGAGTGTGCTCACATGTGTAGAGACGCGGCAGAAAAGGATTTCGTGGGGAGGTGTCTTCAGAAGAGACTGTCCCCAGTAAACCAAGTCCCAACAGACCCAACTGTCAGGCATCTTTGGCAGCAGTGCTGTCCTGGCCAGGGGTGTCTCTCACTTCCCTCTTGATTTCCCTGTCACCACTCTCTTCTGATATTTGTTCGGGAATTCACCCAATCTGTAAGCTCATTGCCTTATCAAATATTTGTGGAGCTTTGCTGGGCAGTGGGGATACAAAGATGAATGACACAAAGTTCCTGCATCCAAGTACCTGGCTCCATAGTGAGAAAGGGTGGATGGACGTGCAGAGAATGGAGCAGAAGAAGGGGGCCCCCGGGCTGGTGGTCAGACGTACACACCCTTTAGTCCCTGCCCCTGAGGATAAATTCAACTACAGAGAGAAAGTTATGTTCAAAAACTGCTCCAGGGCAGTCCTATCAATCAGGCAGGTAGAAAGTTGGAAACGAGAAAGTTCTTTGCCCACTCAGGAATTCATAGTCTAGAGAAAACAAACCACACCCACCTATATTATCAGGATACTGACCTTGAGCAGCACTGAAGTTGTGAAAAAGGAAACTACTTGGGGAATTTAGGGAGAGTGGGAGTGGTCTCCAAAGGTCAGAGGCTTCCTGAGACCAGCACAGGACTGGGGGGGGGGAGGAAGACCCCAGGATCTAGGCTTTGGGGATGTCAGTGCTCATGGGGCTGGGATTGCTTCTGGAAGCCACCTTGTTGGTGTCCCCAGTTGAAGGGCAGAGGGCCAGGGGATGGTCCCAAGAAGGTGGTGACAGCCCAGATGCTGCTCAATAAGGAGTTTGAAGGTCTCCTGGAGGGGCCAGGAAGCAGTGGGGTGAGGCTGGAGTATCACCAAGATGGTGCTTCCTCATGATCAGCAGCAGGGCAGGAAGGAGGACGGTGTCTCAGTGGGGAGGAACTGCGGGCTGCCCACTCCCTGCTGGCCCCTCCTGCATGGGGCCATCACTGCTGGGGAACGGGTCCACATGGAGGCCTATTTGAGCAGTCTCAAATACCTACAGGCACTCCAGACTCTGAAGAGATGGGATGGGCAGAAAAAAGGAAGTAAAAATGCTGAGATTGTATCTGAAGTAAGAAAAAGGGAGAGTGAACACACAAGAGGAGAGGAAAGAGTCATGATGAGAAACATCATCATGTACAAAAGAAGGAGACAGGACAGGAGGAGAGAGTGTCCTTCAGGGGAGCAGATGCAGAGGATTTTAGGACAAGGACGGAAGTGCAGAACGAGCTGCCTGGCTGGACCTCCCCCAAAGAGGATGGAGCTTGAGGGCTTCAGAACCTCCGGGGTGGAGGCAGCGGAGGGGTGGAGGCAGCGGCTAGGTAGAGGCTGAGGTGGCCCAGTGGACCAGAGGGTATGTCTGGTCAGAGTTTTTCTACTGGGAGCAGGAACATGGGGATGGGTGAGGTGCAGAGATGTGGTCGGCCTCTGGCTGTGCCTCTCTTGGGGTGCAATATGGATGAAGAGAAAAAGAGGAGGTTACAGCGAGAAGCTGCAGGCCGGGGTGGTGCAGCTGCAGAGAGACCTTCCTAGGGGAAGAGCTCATCCCTGCTCTGTGAGTGGCACCTCCCAAACCCGCCAGGACCCTGGTCCTGAGTCAGTGACCAGCATGTATGGGCAATCAAGGCTTGTGTTTCCAGAGCCTCCTTCCCAGCACCCAGCCCTATCCAGCTGCCCTTGGTGGGGTGGTTTGAGCTTCCCTCCCCACTGTCAAAGGGGGCCCTCCTCCCCTCCGCCACCTCGCCTCAAGGGGATATCGCCAAATACTCTAAGGAAAGGAGTGCTGGCAGCCCTGTACCTATTTTTTGTTTTTCACTCTGAAAGATACACATGTTAACTGTAGCCTGTTTCCCCGAGAGGAGCATGGCTGGAGTCAATGTAAAGGAGAGAGGACTATTTGGGGCTGAGAAGCGGGGGCTGAGGCCTTACCCCAGGAGCAGGGGCCTGGATTGCCCTCGTCCCTCGGTAGGTTCCCATTCTCCTGCCTGGAGCCTGGGCAGCCCTGAAAACTTCAGTTCCAAGGAGGCTCGTGGACTCTGGCACAACCCAGGGAAGCAGTCTGGGAAAGGAGCAGCCCTTCCTCTGGGGAGGGCCTGGGCCATTCTGTGCACAGAAACTACATGGAATAAGCAGTTGCGGTGTATGCACTCGCCAGGATCCCTGCAGTTGACAGTCACTACCACCGCACGGCCCTATCTGCCCTCCTCACTCCTCCAAGGAGGAGGGCTGTGCCGGGCCCGGGGGACCCTTCACGTGGAGTGGGACGCCCCAGCTCCTCTTGCCAGACAGCTGCACTGACTACAGAGCCCTAAATAGAGACCAGAGCTATGTGACGGCCCAAGCTCCCATGTGCCATTTGTGGCTGGGAAAAGGGGGCCCTGGGACAAGACTTGGGTGCTTGGAAAATGATCAAGTCACAGTTCAGTTCAAGTGAGCAGCAGTCTGGTTCAGGGGTGGGCTGAGGGTTTCACTCAAGCCTAGTTCCCAAGGGGTTTTTCTCTGGAGCAGCAGCTTTGACAATTTGAGCCGTAGGGGACACGCCACTCTTCAGTCAGCTTAGACCTGGGGGAAGGTGACCCAACTAAGTCCGAGGCACTGAAACAAGCCCTGTCCACCTGCTGTCTCTTACTTTCCTCACTCCACAGCACCCTACAGTTGTTTCTTCTTTCACTGATGTATTTTTCACCAAACAGCTATTAACTTGAACTTGGTGCCAGTGATATGACAAAGAGTGGGTCGTAGCCCTACCCTCATGTTGCTCACCTTGTCCCAGGGAAAGATGTAGTCCTAATATCAGGAGGACGCGAGGGACCTTTGTCAGGCCTCAGATACCAAGATCCCACAGCCTTCCTCCTATATTGCACATCACAGGGAATGGAAATCATTGTAGATTGTAAAGGCAGCTAAAATGTCACTAGAAAACCACTTTAGTCAGAAACTATTTGGGAGGTAACAAGGAGTGAACTAGGTCTCTTCTGGTCAAGGCCTCATAGTCTTAAAGGAGATGTTGCTTTGGGTGTCCAAATTCCCATCATCTGCCCTTGCTATACTGGTATTTCAGGGAGCAGGAGAAATCTTTGAGGCTATGTCCCATGTGGAGAGTACCCCAAAATGCTAGAGACCTCATGTGTTTTAGGGGTTCTGATCCCAGGCCCTAGGATGGCAGCTCTCCAGGGAATTCAAATTCTTCTGAATTTCATGGTTGAAAACTATAGAAACTGAGTAATGGGAAATTCTCAGGGGAGGAAAGAAAAGGGCTGGACAAATTTCCCCTTGGGTAGCATGAGCAGGGGTAATTCAGAGATGTGGGGGTCCACGCCTTCTACATAGAGGCTCATCGCCTGGGCTACTGTCTCATGACCTTCTGGCCAGGCATGGGGCCCACATTAACTAAAAGAAACTAAATAATGAAAGAAACTCAAGAGCGGAAGACTGGCTGGGCAGAACAAGGCCACTACCCGTTCTGAGGCAAGCAGTGCACCAAGCCGCTGGTGAGCTGTGAGCGCCTGGCCTGTCCCTAGTGATCCTTCGTGGAGGGAGTGTGTGCACCAGAGGGACTGGACACAGTGCATGAGAGACGCCCTGGGGCTTAGGAAGCGCAGCCCCTGCTGCTGCTCTCCTGGCTGCCCCTCTGGAGCGCTAGGCTCACAGCCCTGCGCCGCGGGCTCCGGCCTGCCTTTGGGTACGGGTCGTCTCCAGCCTGCTGTGCCTCCTGGCCACCCCACGTCCACTGGGGAAGTCTCTCTCCTTCCCTCCCGTTGGTCCTTCCTCCTCCCGCTGGCTCCCTCTTCTCACCCACACACTCCTATCTCAGCATTTCTGCATGTAGGGGGCTAAGGACCCTCTTTCTCAGAAGCAGCGGGATGATGGCACATGGATGGTTTTCTTCCCCAGAAAACATTTTGTCTCAGCAGCAGATATTCCTTAAGAAAATGGAAAAGACACAAGGTCAGGGACCGGATAGCTTTCAGTAAGTGGGTGGCTAGTCACAAAGAGTCAGGTGACTTCCTGGGTTCTGTAAAAGCCCAGCCCAGAACATTTCTCTCGTTGGCCCTTCCTGAAGCCAGGGCAACCTTAAGAAGCCAAGAGCTAAGGAAACCTTTTAAAGGTGTCCCAGGCATAGCTCACCTAGGAGGAGGACAGCCTAAAATGCTGAGATCACAAATGGAAATTCAGAGAAGCATACGATTAGGAAATGCCCAATCACAGTTAAGTAAGCAAGGTACCCTGACCTGGGTCTGGGCTCATTAGGCTGATTCTAACAGGCCTGTCCCTCAGCAGCAGCCTTTGAATCTAGCTAACCTCAAGAGACATGTTCCTGTAGGATAGCCTACACATCCCACTGATATATTTAAGTTAGAAAAGGATCCGAGTCCTTTCCTTATAAGAATGTCCTGCCTTCAATAAGCAGACAGACAGTCAAGTACAATATAGTGTCCCCCAAGCCCGGGTACCTAGGAGAACCCCAGATTCATTCATCGAGTCAGCCATGGTAAAAGACTGCAAGACCTGGCAACTTCTTCACTGGAAACGCTTTTTGGAGAGAATGGGCCTATCCTCAGACCAGCACAGGTACAATGAAACAGGCTCTCACTTCATGGAGGGGAGCCATTTTCCAAGGGCCCAGGCATGGGGGATTGAAAGACAGTGGCTGGATCAGGAACTCTTTCCTATTTTCAGCTGAAGACTAGAAACCCAAGTGACGGAGAGAGATGGCTAAGGAGCTCAGGGAGCTTGTGGACTGCCCCTTTCCAGACTGCAGCCTCGAGGCACCCAAGAAGGAAGGAGAGGGGGAAGTGAGAGCAAGCTCAACACTAGACAAGAGGGTCCGAAGCAGGAAGGCGCTCCCTGGAGCATCCATTTCCCCTTCCAACTTCATGATCCCTATTTTATCACCCTGTGGGCAATTTTGTCTTCTTTTTTTTCTTTTTTTAATTAGACCAACAGGGAGGTGAAATATACATCCTGCAACAAGGAAAGGTACAAAAAGAAATAGCAGAGAAGAGCAGCGGAGCCCTGGAGAGAGAGCAGACCTGAAGCGGAGAGCGAGGGAGGGGGTGTGGGGCCAGGGGCAGCAGAGCCAGGTCAGGGGCAGTGGGACCAAGGTGCCTCTGTCAGGGAATGCATACCGTGTTCAAATCCTGCTCTGGAAGGGAGAACTCTGATGGGCACGAAAGCCGTCAAAGTTGGGCACTGGGAATGAATCACTGTCTGACTTGCCTGTTTCTCCTCCTGATTCTCACAGAA